ACCAGTACAGACACAACAAAAACTATAGCCCCCACCTCCCACCCCCACCTACACCCTGTGGAGGACTATCAAAGACTCCTAACCAGTACAGACACAACAAAAACTATAGCCCCCACCTCCCACCCCCACCTACACCCTGTGGAGGACTATCAAAGACTCCTTACCAGTATATCTCAATTAAAGACTTCATTTTGTCTGGTTCATCATATTTTTGTATAACCAAACAAATTATTGATTGCGAAGACGGCAGAATTGTCTTTTTCTCTATGGCCTGGTCTTATCAGTGACAGTTTTGGTAATTGAAGCTACCATGTACTGTACTTAATGGCCACACTCAGAATCTTGAGACATTTATTGATCTTTGAGCATGAAGTTAACTTTCATATCTATTATGATTGTGCAAAGAAACATTCACCTTTTTTATCATTAGATATTTTATAGCAGTTGTACAGCAACCTTTGTAATCTGTACCAGTGAAAAACATATATGTTCCCTATACATGTACATATATTGCAATAACTATAGATAACATATATGTTCCCTATACATGTACATATATTGCAATAACTACAGATAACAAAGCATTACATTTACCATTTTGGACGGAGATATCAAAAGTTCACTTCACAAATATTCCACTTCAAAGGCGTCTCCACACACTTGTCAGAAGAAAAAAAGTTTTTGAAAACCATACACTCTGTAGCATCTATTGGATTGTATTTGTATAAATGATGATCACGACAACATGAGCTTCACAGAAATCTATACACAGACAGCCAAAACCAACAGAGGTAAATAATTTCACAGTCAGAATGGCTCATATCCAGAGACGTAACACTAATTCCTTCCTTTTACAAGCTGTTGGTGTTTACATTGTATCCAAATTCCTTGTAACTGTTTCTCCCTCTCTCATTATCACAGTCTGTAATGACTCCACACAATAGCTCATCAGTGATTTTACAACTGCATTATTGGTAAAGTTTTCGCTTTATAGTAGTAAAAATCCCTTTTATTCAATATCTCCTGATTTACAATGAGCGACACAACCAACAGGAAGCATTATGTGTGGGCAGCACTAAGTAGAATGTCCTCCAAGTCTGGTTCTAGGTTCATTACCTGTTATAACAGTATCAGGCTACCATATATATCATAATCTGATTTCATAAACAGGAAACTAGTAAAAAGAAGTCTTAATGCATAACCATGTACTGACCAAAATCCTGTTATCTACTACATAACAGGTAAATATACTACCCTAATTAAATCACAGGTGAGAAATTTGTTTATTTATTTTTCTTTTTAATCTCTTTAGTTAATCACACAAGCCTTATACAACTACAAAATAAAAAGGTTGAATTGTTTGGCTCATTTTGTATTTTAAGGCTTATCATCATCAAATAAGAATTGAATACATGCAACTAGTTGGTAAACTGAATGTAAACTGGTACTGTGTAGGATTGACATCCCAGCAGAAATGTTCTAATACATCTAGAATTTCTGGATAGATTTCCAAAGAAAGTTATTAAACATAGTTTATATCAAAGCGTATACGTCAGAGCATTTTTGTCTAACATTAAAAAAACTATCATTATGTATTCAGTAGATTCCACATTAACTAAGTCAGGATTAATACCTTCAGTATTCAATTAATTTTGAAAATGGTTCAGTGTATGTACTCATTAAATATATGTAATGAATTTCCTTGCTATTCTGTAATCAAGACATCTACTGAGCTTGTAATCCCAGCAATCTTCAGATCCTACTTCTGTTGATGGCGTCGATAAAACACAATTGGCCCATCCAATGCACATGGGAGTCACATATTTCTATATGATGGGTTTTCATTTTATAACATCATAAGATCCAGTAGCTTTCCCCCTCTGGTACAGTGCACAGCAGATAACGTGACCATGCACAAAAAATCTATAGAAACACGTAATCAGTGTGTAGTGTGGGTTAACCCAACCCTCTCTAAGCAGGCTGATGTTGCTACATGTATGATGTGTCAATAAAATATCAAACTTTTCATAATACCAAGTACAAAATTAACACACACAGATCCAACAATACAACTAAGGGTTCTCAGAAATATTCAATATAACTTCCCAATAGAATTGGAGGCTCCACAACAGCAATCATGTACTCCATCACACATCCCTGCTGAACATATATCCTGTTAATACACAGTATATTGTTACAAGTAAGCATCCATAGTCACATTGACAAGAAAATGGTTGACCTCATCTTTTGATGATGAAAGTAAGACAGACAGTGCTTCCTTATGTGTTGTCGAGCAAATCAGTGATCAAACACATGACATTAACTGACCTGACAAGAAAAGAATCTATAGAAGAATGAGAGGCTGAGAGTAAACTCGAAAGATGATCTTTAGTTGGCTGGCAGTTAATGGACAGTACATATATATTCACTGGCTGAATTCTAACAAGTGTGTTCTGTGGTTGAAGTGTCACACAACATGTATTTCTATCAGGTATGATAATGTACAGGGATACCAATCACAGCAACTGTCATGTGCAGTGAGTGTCCACATTCTGATTGACCTATTTCTGGCCAATTAGGAACTAAATTCTTCAGTCTTCAGTTATGATCCAGCAACTGTCATGTGCAGTGAGTGTCTACAAATTTTGATTGACCTATTGTAGGTGAATTAGGAACTAAATTCTTCAGTCTTCAGTTATGATCCAGCAATTGGCATGTGCAGTGAGTGTCTACAAATTTTGATTGACCTATTGTAGGTGAATTAGGAACTAAATTCTTCAGTCTTCAGTTATGATCCAGCAATTGGCATGTGCAGTGAGTGTCTACAAATTTTGATTGACCTATTGTAGGTGAATTAGGAACTAAATTCTTCAGTCTTAACAGAGATGATCCAGTGACTCTTATATGCAGTAAGTGTCCACAAATTCTGAATGACCTATTTCTGATGAATTTGGAAATAAATTCTACAGTCTTAACAGATATGATCCAGCAACTCTCATGTGCAGTAAGTGTCTACATATATTGATCAGCATAGCTCTAGTGAACTAAAAACAAATTCTACAGTCTCAAAAGGCTGACATGGGGCAGTATTAGGTGTCCAGAAGTTTTCATCCAATAATCCTGGAGAATAGTGTCATATGTAATCCAGGCAAATTGTACAACATTGACTGCTTCTTTATCATTTGTCAAACTTGTTCAATATTACCCATACAGTCTTTTTTCATACAAGAAATCCAGGACATTGTTATTTTAGAAAGGTCATGACCAACAAATTTTCATAAAGAAGTAGAAGTTGACGATGTAATAGAGTGCTGTCAAGATATTAGAGAAAGAAACTGAAATTAATAGTAACACACCATACAGATGTATTTCCTTATGACAGGTAAGACCTTAAGATCATTGCATGTGAAAAGCAACTCTCTGTTTGTAATACATATAGTTTCATATTCTTATTCATCATTGTATGAACAAATTTTGTGAAAGTTATCTCCCTTTAATTGTAAGAAACAACAATCACACCTATTCAAAGAAATGAACTTCTTATGGTAAGAATAGAGGGATTCATCAAGGCCAGGAGACTAAAATATATACCAGGTTTTTGATAAGGCCAGGAGACTATGATTATAAATGCTAGGTAATCAAAAAGACCAGAGTACTGTGAATAGATACAGTAAACCTTAAATAAGGATATCAAATGTAGTTGTAGTTTTCCGTAATGCCCAACAATGTGTTGAGGAATTAATGTCATCCCATACATCACAGGCCAGGCTTATTTCATTACAGACACAATCACACTGATGTACCACTCCAACATTGTCTCACTAATGAAACTTCTCTTACAGCAATCACAAATTTTAAAACAAACTCATTCACATTGATACAAGCTTCATCAAATTAAGAAAATTAGAATTTGGATTGTTTTCTATTTTGTAAAATCCTTGTCAGACACATGTATAAGTAAGTTCTACAATAAGCATGCAGGGCTTTGGATCAATACTTAAAGCTGTGTGTTTTCTATAAGCTTACTCTCCCTTTCAACCATGAGATCACACCATTTAATACCCTGGAGATTGTACCAATCTACATTTTATGTACTTCAATTAACGACAAATGGCATATGGAATCACGTGTTATTCAAACCCACACATCTGAATATCTATTAATTAATATTGAATCACTGATATGACTTTCTGTAAATGAAATTCCGACTACGTCTGTGCTTAGTATACAATATTTCTCATCCCAACCAATGTTGATTACATACATACATGTGTATAATAAAATGAGTTTCAGTTACAAGTTCTGTGTTATGGAATTGAGTGTGAGATTAAGTTCTTCAACGAAGAACGGTCATTTGATCCATTAACCTTGACTGATGATTACGAATAAATAATCAGGTGTAATATGACATGAACACACTACAGCATAACTTAAAACTAATTGTAAATCAGTTTTGCAGTTCGAGAGATATTTTTACACAAAGGTTTTTCTATGGAAGCCCTCATGTTTCTTACATTTACATGTATCCTAGTAAATCTTTTTTAAATCCATCATTTGGAAAAAACATTTTAAGATAAATACATACTGGTCACAATAAATTTGAGTTCACAGAAGTTGTATTGTATCTACTGAAATTCTTTCTATGTCACATTTTCATATATTTCTAACTTGTCTGCTTCTTCAGAAACAAAGTTCTACATGCTTGGCTAATAAGATTGAATTGTGGTCATATTGGATTTCAAATGAATCTAGCAGAGCATTGCAAGCAACAGCAAAAGGTAGTGCTTGAGGAGATTAAAGGGCCTTAACACAACATAAAACATTATATCAAAATATCACACCCTGAAATCCCAAAGTTACAAAATTTTGAGGTGACAAATAATCATTTTATTATATATATTTTTTAACTTCAAGAAGCACGCTTAATACTTCATCACTTTTAAGATACAAGGGGACACCTATAAATTCAACTACAGGAACCAGAAATAAAAAAAACTTACCTCTGCAGCTAATTTCATTTGTTCAAACTCTGTAAGTTTAATGGGTGGTTGGTGATTGAGGTTCATGTGATCCCCTTGGACATTGCTGTGGGTGCTGGACGTGGCCACACTGGAAGGCTGAGATGTCCGTGACTGGCCGGTACTGTTGCTGTACTTCTGGCCATTTTGAGTTTCCTCCTGACCTCCAGATAACAACTTGTCCCACTCTTTTTCACTTGAAAGCATAAGATGATAAATCCAACTATATCACATATGCACCAACAAAACATATACATAAGGATACCACAATGGTATCCAAGATATGTCTACTATGCAACATAAGTTTACTATCCAAGATATGTTTACTATCCAACATATGTTTACCAAACAAGTCTATAACTAAGAGTGAAATATCAGAGCATAATAAGGTCCTACATTATATTTGTAAAGTCACTTGGAATGAAGACACGTCATTTTCAAATCATCATCCATGTTTTGTTATCCTGTCTTGATTCAAGAGGGGAATTATTCACAACATGGGTACCAGTCTATATCCAGGAAAACCACTATCATATTTACCACTGAAAACCATCAATAAACATAAACAATGAAACAGATGTTGAAATGTAAACTGTGTTTTTCTATAAAAAAACAAACAAAATTTACAAATAATAGATATTTATGTAGGAGTATTGACATTTTCATGTCATGGTATTAATATTATCTGTCCATCCTTCATTGGTACATGTTTTCGTCTACATTTCCTTCACCTCAGATACTGGACAAATAATTCAGGCTTCTATTTCAATTAAGAATGGTGATAAACCCATCAAATTAATCTGATCCATGTAACTAAGAATGATAGGAAGATATTGTAAATGTACATATTTTTGACGTTATCTTATTTAAGTGCTTTGGTGCTGAAAGTATTGCAGTGAAACATGATTGCTAATTACACTTTCTTTAAGCTGATTATTAATTAGTGTGAATGTGAGAATTTATTGAAGCTCTAATTTACCAAAAGGTGACAATGTGCTCAAATTTTCAATGCCTTATTAAGTATGTTTGCAATAATTCTTTTAAACAATTTTGAATGTAATTCCCTTAAAGCTAGAGGAACAGCTATAGGTCAAATATTCAAGATTCTGTACACATTCAAGACATGACTATTGAACTTTTTGCAACCTTGCAAATCTTTATATCACTTTACCGGTAGTTAACTGAACAAATCAGAGCCTGTCTACAACCTAGTAATCTAGTATGTAGGAATATTGCTTTAGAAGTTATAATCTACCATCTATAACCACCATCATAAGAAAGTGACCTATTTTGGTGCATGACACATGCTTCACTTAAGTCCACCCATGCCCCAAGTACCAAATGGAGCCTAAACTTTCTCTTTGATGTAGGTCAATTGTCAAAATGTAGGTCAAAGTGACCTACTTTTGCTACATGATGTACCACCTCATTAAGCTAGGTTGACCCCTTTCCAGAGTATGAAGTTTCAGTGATAAGTACAGTAGGAGATCAAGCCCACACTTGATAGCAACAAACAAAAGGACAAATATAGACACAATATAAACTTATATTCTTCACTCCAGAACCCATGGGGAACTATAGCAATACAAGTTTGTGATAAATTAATCACTTGGAAGGAAATCAATCAACCAATCAATCATTAATTATCAGATATCTTCACTCTATATGTATATAGGAAAATAACTTTAGACCATGTGCAGTATCACCAACCCTGAAGTCCATCTTTATTTATTTCTCAATTTCCATTGACCAGAAGTTCTTATAACACAAGCAATATAAGATTTAAATGTGACATTTCTATGACAACACTTTCACCTTCATCAGACAAACGATCAGAATAAAGTGTATTAACACTGACGTATGATGTGTATGAGATGGTACTGAATCAACATGACTGTTTTTTGGCTGTGCTATAATCCTATGTACACTTGGTAGAAAGTATCTATTATCTTATTTTAAATGACAATGCCACTCCCCTCAACAACACCACAGTTTACTAACAGCTTTGTAAACCCAGTTCTGATGTAAAGCTATAACTGTGATATTCAATCAACCAGTTAATGTTATTGCTGAAATTTTATCATTCATGCCAGGTATCGTTCCAAAATATCAATAAATTATTACCAATGTATAACCTAACCCAGCATCATTGGGATGTCTGATTATTGGGTACTCATTTAACTTGATACCAAATTTTGTCATCTGTAGTGCCATATATCAATGTCATAGCACAGATTATTTGTTATAACAGAAGTATATTTCTCCAGTCTCGACACAATGGAAGACTACCTATTTAGCATCAGAAAGGCTACATACATAATTAAACCTCCATGAGTCAATCAAGCTTTTTATCTCCCTTCCTGTTACACTGATATGGTTACTACAGGTTCTGTATAAATAATTCAAGTCTTCCTTATCCTAAATGACATGATACATTATCAAACTAAGGGGTGGGCTTATTACAGCAGAAAATAATAATAGTCATCAGTTATTCTATAAAACAGCAATAGTTATGATCAATTTTTCTGTGGACTCATTCACATATAGATATATGGGCTTATTGATAGATAAACACAGTAATGTCATCAGTGTTTAGATATTTCATGTTTCCATTTATATCATCATATACATGTATATTTCAATTTTTACAAATCCATTACTTTTTCTTTTCATTACATATATATTTTTATTACATGTATATTTGTTTCCAACAAAATATGATGAATACTTTACACACACATTTTCTAGATAATATTTTGCTGGTAAGATAGTTTCATTGTTAGCATATAAATCATAATCACAAATTTTAACAATTTCAGCAATAAATTAACAATTTCAATTTTTCGTTTTCTTCAACCTAACTTCTGTATTTTAAAATCCATCTGGCAGAAATTGGACTTTTTGTATCTACTGTATAACTGAGGAAATGAACAGGGAAATTAAATGCTAGATTTCAGGTTTTCCCATACAACATACCCGATTTCAATATTTGGGGAATTTGTATGACATCATTGGAAACAATACATGTACTTGATATTCATATGCATCATAGGGAGAGGGGTCAAAAAAGGAACCCAATGATAATCTGAACACTATTTGTTAGACTTTAACCTCTGTCATAGACAATCAATAACTACATTTAGTACAAAGTTGTAACAGACATGTATTTGCTTGTTGTTAAAAACAGTCAAGTCAATTGTTTTATTGATATCTATCAAGATAGATGTGGTAATTATACTAATAATGTACTAGAAAAGTTTAAAACTTTAAAGTTTTGAACTGTTTCAATCCTTGGTGTGAAGTGTTAGCTAAATATTCTAAGGCCAATTTCTTAACTTCCACAGATATCGTTTGCGACCAAATTTTTGGATGCATAAATCATTCAAGTAGAAGCAAATTTTCAGGATTTTCAACCTCAAAAAGTACATGCAATCTTATATTCAAACTCTCTCCAATATGACAGATCACTGTGGTTGGCTGTTGGTCTGAACCATATTAATTTGACAAATGTATGTGTCATTCAGAAACTAGGTATACCAAATTAGGTACATTTATTTCAATTGGGGAGAAAACTGGAAAACTCGAACACACCCTACATGATCCCCATGTATACCTGTTCAAATTCAATCTGGTAGCCTTGGTAAAAGACAAATGCAGCAATCCAACAACTCAAGCTGCCCAACTACACAATGGCATAGACTACCACAGGAACAGTGGTATCTAATCCCTATCCCTAGGACCCTTTTTGATTACCACTTGATGACATCATGCCCCAAACACTATCATGTATTCTAACAGTAATATGAAAACTACATCAATTCCTGCCTTTAGTAACCAGTAAATGATATGTGACAAAGATAATCTAGGAACATCTGACCACCCTAAAGGTGAAAATGGTAAATGCTTTTCTCCATTTTCTTGTAATTTAACAAGGAACAAACCTTTCAAGTTTTGATATTGACAACTAATACATCTTTTATGTTTTAAAACTGACTAAAAATAGTCTAACTTAGAAATTCTCTGAGTAAATATGGTGGTTGTTGTTAGTCTGAAACTTTGGTACAATAACAGTATAATTACACATATATATACATATCTATAAATTATTTGACTTCAGGCTAATGCATGTATGATTATTTACAACATACCAAAGTCCTTATTCTGGTGCTGATCTAAATATCAATCATTATACATTATAGAAATGTATTTCATCTACATTTTTAATTATATGATACAAACATATTTGAGCACACTTGAACATTAAAGGTCATGTTTTAATTGATTAATATATGCTTGGGTATTAGCCTTGTCAGTCAATACACCCACTGTATATTAGTTTATCCTGCAAATGGCACTGCCATTGTCAGAATACACCTGCCACAGATATTTTCACTGTATTTAGCAGTCAATTTTCAATAAGTTTTGTTGGAATACATGGTCAGTGTCTTAAAATATAAGCTACATGTATTTTGGCTTGAGACAGAAAGGCAAAAATGGCTTACCAAGGACTTCGCACCTGTCTTTTTTCACTCTTCCCAAAATAGAGCTTATATTTTAAGACAATGACAATGTATTATCAATGTATTCAGACAGGCCACACTAATGCCTGCAGTAGTTTCAATGCTCACAGAGACCATTAACACACCAATGATGTTATGTTGCTTTATACTCTTAGGGGAAAACTTACTCTTCAACAATAGCCCGAACATATGCCATTACTCTTAGGACATTTGTTGTGTATCCGAACACAATATCACATCACAGTACTAATGTATTGTATACATGTATATTTTGACTGTTTTCCATTCCACACTTGCGACCACGACTTCGCGGAGTTAAGAGTTTCACTGCTGTTTTACACCATCATATCAGTAACCAGCGTTATTTACAGATCGTGCACAGATATTGCTATAAAAATACCAGTCTCGATCTGTCGTTATCGTTCGCATGCATCACAACACAATATTCCCCCGGGAAGACAATTAGAGTTACTCCCCCTGACATGTCAAAATTTCATATTATTTAATTTACAAACCGATTCCAAAATTTTAGAAGCATAATACAATTTTGAGTATTGAGTCTATTTTCATGTCATATAAGAAGTTTTATACAAACAATGTGATGTATTTTGACACCATCTCTCGGCGTCACCAGTCGACAGTACCAGCCAGCATCTTGTCGCTGAAGTACACTGAT